TTTTAAAATATTGCAAATTTGTAGTATATAAATTGTAATATTAATAAAAGAAACATGTACACTAAACATATTTCATTATCACTATGTATGTAAAAAAGAATAATTAGAAACGGTTTAGTATTAAAGAAAAATAAACAGTACCCCTGTATATACTCATTATTATATCAGTAAAAATAACGATATTGACTAACATTTGAATAAAAACGTAGACAATAAACTGCAAATTATCTGAAAAAAAAAAAATCATGGAGATACCCGAAAAATTTAAGACACGGTGAAATAATAAAGTGTTTTCGTTATTTATGGTTACGTAGGAAACAAGTAGGTGAATTCTATACACACACACACACACACACACACATACACACACACACACACACACACACACACACGCCTCAACCTTCCGTTTCTCCTTTAAAAAAATAAAAAAATAACTACATATTTTTCACTGCTATCTCTCCAAGTCTAACAAAAACATTTATTTTAATTACAGTACAGTTAACACACCGTGAAGTCATTATTAAGCCTTTATAATATTTCATCACCAACCCTCGTATTATTGTCCTTAGGCCTCAGTGCATGTATATAATTTTCTGGTAATAGAATTTCAGTAATATATGAATTATTGTTTAGTTTTATTTACAAATCATTGTTGGAAGTGGAGAACGATGCTAATATTTACGGTACGTAGAACAAGGTATGTAACAATGTAGGTATAGCAAGGAACAAATATAGTGTTAATTAAAGCAGGTGCACGGTGACCAATACTGTATATTACCTGTAATCACAATAAAAACTCTGATATAACGTTTTTTATTTATGAATTTTCAACACTAATAATTATATGCAAATTATGATGGAAGGCTTATTGCATTTCACTAATTAATCAGAGTATTTCACAACGTAGACTTTAAGTTATGAGATATGGCCGAAGTCAAGTCACACACACCCCTAACCGTTTGAACAAGTAGCGAGTGATATATATCCTCTAGGCAGTAGCACCCCTACTGCCCATCACATACCAGTGTGTCCAATATTACACCAACTTTCAACACAACAAGTTTACCAAGAAAAATGCGTCTTCGAGTTTAGCCTCCTATTATTACCGGTCGTTACGGTTAAAGCCCCCTCCCCCCCCTCTCTCTCTCTCTCCTCCAATGAGAATCGATAGAGCAATATACCGTGTCTTCTGATTTGTCGATCAGGTCACGTTTGCTCATCATGGACGAGCGACCATCCGTTCTTGAACCGGGCCAATTGCAAGAACATTCGTGGGGTGTACGACGCCGTTTACGATGACCTTCTTGTCCTGATCTTGTTTCAGTTATACCACCCTTTTGAAGCTCTGGAGAGATCTCGAAGTTTCGATAATTTGAGTACAGCACTAGCTAATAATTCCCACCAGGAAACTTGTTTTGAGACTCCTCCAAAGCTTCGAAAAGTGCAGAATTCCACGTGTTAAAGGCGATATTGCTGAAAAAAGACCAGGGCAAGAAGGTCATCGTAAATGGCGACGTACACCCCATGACCGTTCTTGCAATTGACCCAGTGACAACAGATTCGTTCCAATAAGTAAACTGGGACGGTTTAATTGACTTGGCAGTTTATGTCGAGATATAGATGCTGGTGTGTGTGTGTAGAGACAATTGATGGAGGCAGACAATAACAATTAAGTGAATTAGTGAGGATAAGGACTAATGCTCAGGCAGACATTGGGTGCCTGATGTGGTAGACAGTGAATAATGGTCTCTAGCCTTCCTCCCTTCTCCTCCCTCTCTCTCTCTCTCACTCTCTACCATCTCCTTCTCTTCTCTTTGTCTTCCTTCTCTTTCTCTTCTCGCTTTTTCCTCTTCCATCTCTTGTTCATTATTCCATTCTCTCTTTGTGTTCCTTTCCCCTTCTTCCTGTTTGCCTCTTCTCCTTTATCTTTTCCTGCCTATCTTTTGTCCTTCTCTTTTCCCTCCCTTCCTTCTCCAGCCTTTATTCCTGCTTCTTTACTCTCCTCGTCTTCCTTGCATCTCCCATCTTCCCTTCCCTCTTCCATCTCTTTTCCAGTTTCCTGTCTCTCTCTGCTCTAACATTTCCCCGTCTTTCTCTCTTCTCCTTCCTGCTTTCTTTCTCCAAAATCAACAAATTAACGCCAAAACACAGCTACCGATTAACTCTTTGTAACTCTTCAAATTTTTACTGTAAATACAAAGTTAAACGGCACATTTAGCCTTTGTTTACATTCGGTTGTTGGGGCGAGGTAGCTTGTCGTGGTTTTGGTGGGCTTTTTATTTCCCGCCTAAAATTAACTTGTTCTACGAGGTTGAGTATCACTTTTAACTCTTTCTGGTTATAATTGAATTGAAAAGTCTATATGTAAAGTGGTAAATAATATCAATCACAGCGAATAGTCATTTATTGCGGCTAAGGGTCCCATTTGCTGTGGAAAAATAAACTGCATGATAGACTGAAATACAATATATGAAAGTCGAGTACAGTATTTAATGTGAAATTCCGGGAAAGAATAACAAATAAAATCACATGGAAGTTGTAAATCTTCTTTAGTCTAAATTTACGTATTTATTTTTTGGTTTAAATGTTGTCTATTGTAAACTGAGAGGATTAAAATATTTCTCTCTAGTGATTGTTCCCTCTGGTAATATATCATTCCTTTTATATTTTTATATTTTGATGTAGGTGACGTCATAGAGGGGGTAGGTGGGAGCAGACTGAGAGGACACAACTTGGTGGGAAACTCACTCCTCTTACCCTCTACTCTACTCGGTCTCGCTTAGTTTATATCTCATTCATTTCTAACCTAACTGTCAACTGTTTTTTTCTGCCGATAGAAGATTAATTTTCTTGATCCTTTTACATTTATTCATGAAAGAGTAATGGATTAATTTGTAACGGCGAGGGTGACTGACTGTAGGTGATACATCTACTGTATATGTTACCACGTTTGAAATCACCGAGGAAATGAGAGACTTTCCAGGTAAATCCTCAGTAAAACTGGTAGATGGATACACACTCAAAGGACGCGTTGAATATAATCTAACGTCAAAAATGAAATTCGTGTTTTTTGATCGCAGGAGCAGATACCTAACAGAACTCAGCCAAAGTTACTTCATTTCTGCCTCTGAATAGGTTATCTCCTCCCACCTTCCAAGTTATAATGAATAGTCGCTATTTTTTTTTAATGTTCACAGAAAGATAATGAGGCGTGTGCTTGTCTTAACTGTGGAGTGAGAACTGTATGGAGTAGTTGGCATGGTGGGAATAGCGTGTGTCTGTGTGTATAGTTGGCGAGAAACTGAATAATAATAATGTTTCTCAGGCACTTATTAACTATTCGTGAAGATAATAATGTATTATTTTGAAAATAAAATACCAGTGGTTGTTCGTCTTCAATCAACCTAACGAGAAAGAGAAAACAAAAAACGTGCAAAGTTATTATTTTTTCTCCAGTGATGTTGACCTTTGGCAGCTGGCTAATCACTTGACGTTCATCCGACAAGATAAACACTTCCTGACCAACTACACAACACAAAGGAAAAACAAAAAAACAAAAAAACAAACAAACGAGGCTACAGATGGTACGGCAAAATTCTTCCCTTCAAGCAATCCAATTTCCCCAAACAATGACCAAAGCCTCATCCACACGAGCAGCGACAATCCATATGTTGTGGGTGGGACACTAAACCTCCCGCCACACAACAAGAGCCTTTCACTTCTTTTCATTGTCAGGAACAAAATACTACCGAACCATCAATAGCTGACGGCCTGACCCTCTTCGTTCTCCAGGTTTCTTCCCCTCTTCCTCCTCCTCCTCCTCCTTAACTTCCCTGTCTTTCTCATATCCATTGTTGTGCCGAAGGGAATGGATGAGGGAAGAAGAGGAGGGAAGGGGATGAGGGAGGGAGGGAGGAGGAAGAGAGTGAATAGAAAGAGGGAGAAGCTAAAAGAAGAGAGAGGAGAGGGAGGAGGAAGAGGAAGGAGGAGTGAATAAGAGAAGGTAGAAGAATAAATAAGAGAGGAAGGGGGAACAGGTAAGGAGGAGGGAGAGGGAAGAGGAAGGAGGAAGAGGTAAAAGGAGAAAAGGAAGAAGAAAGAAGAAGAGAGGAAGTAGGAAAATGTAAAGGGAAAGACAGGAAAAGGAAGAAGGAAAAGTAGAGACAATAACTGCTTCCCTTCTGCCATACACCTTAAAGACGTGAAATAAAAAATGCAGTAATGTTTCTAAAATTGCAAGATTTCGTTCAAGTTTATTCCCTCGCGTTATGGTTCAAATAAGAGACGAGTAAATGAAGAAAATTTACAGCTGGAGAAATTAACTGTCATATCTCTCTCTCTCTCGTGAATTTTGATAATGTGAAGTAGGTATGAGGTCGCTTGAGGCGTTAAAAGCCCTGTTGTAAAGTTGCATCAGCCACTGGCCAGAGAAGCTCGACGAACATACAACCCGCTGTCACAACTCTGCACACCTGAAGTTCCTCTGAGATGTTTGTTAAAGGAGTTGCAAGGGAACTGTCATAATGAGAACCATTATCAACACGAAACTATCTGTTCAACTTGTTAAGGAGGTGCTAGTTACAGCTTCTGTGTGTGTGAATCATCTTCCACAATGGGGGTTCAAGGTTCCGTCTGACTTCCCTTGTCGCAGTACGGTGTGTGGGGGGGTGGGTGGGGGGGGGGGTATGAACCGACAAAACTAAATGAACAAATCTGGATTATGTTGTGAAAAGATATCATCATAACATAACACATCTTAGTAAAGAACGTATGAAAGCAAATGCTAAGAATCTGTTTAACTCTGGAGTCTGGCCCTTCGGCAAGCAAAGACGTTGTCGATTTAATTCCGTTAATGTTACACTACCTGGTCGAAAAAGTGATTTTTTCTCTCCCACGCACAACAAGTTCAACACAGACCTGACATTGACCTAAGGGACTACTCGAGTCCCTGAGCACGTCGGACGAACCAAAAAGAACGAGAAGAGATGAAGGGTGCTTACCATTGGTGAGCTGCTCGCCTAGGGGGATCAGCAGGGGTACCAACACGTTCACAGCCATTCTTCTCAGAGCTTATAACACACGTTCCTCGATGTTTGGTTGGCTCGCCTGTAAGATAAGGTAGTGTATACAGCATTAGGTGAAGCTTAAGGAAATAACATAATTCTTGTTACAGTACACAGAAGCATCTTCACAATAAACGTTTTCGGAAATGCATTTGCAAGAAATATTTACGAAACGGTTTACTAATGCAGCTCTTATATTAGAGCCGGAAAATTTAAAACGCGATTATATGTTCTGGAAATAAAGGCGGCAACAAAGTTTTAAACCTTTATTATGCTCAGCTCCAGTTTAATGCCTCTCAAAATGTATTCCCCTGCTCCTGTACAGATGCCTCTCGCTCTCTCTCTCTCTCTCATTTTCAACATCTACGTTTCATCAGCGTTTGCTTTTACCTACAGAATTAGTCCAAATTTAATCATACTGAAAATCTTCCCAATGGGCAATAAAAACCTTAATTTTTGGGAAAGTATAAAACTAGATGTACAGTATTAGTATGAGAAGGAAGCCTGAGTGTTTCTTTCTGTTCATGTGTATTTTATTGTGTACGTGTTTGTTGTAAGATTACGTGTTCTGCCAGGTATTTCGTGCGTTTTGTACTTGCTTGTGTATTTGTTATGTACTTGTTGTGTATGTGTAATTGCTGTGTGTAGGTGTAAATATTCTGTCCATGTATCTTATGTGTTTGTGTATTTGTTGTGTATAGTTCCACTTGCCCTGTCTATGTGTAGTTGTTGTCTTAAGGCATACTTACTCGATGTATACTTCCGCGTGTCCTTATTCAAGCTAAGTATATGGTACATATATCACCTGAGTGTACATATTAGTGTACTTTTATTACTCAAGTGCATCTGTCTACTCTAAAACTGTACATAGACAATAGGCACACAACAGATGGCCTTCCCCTCCCCTCACCTGATGTCGCCAGCAGCCTCCACTCAACTCTCAAGTACTGGGGGGTGACGCGTTGGCTCTTTTACGCTGGTTTGACTAAATTCTTCCTCATAATTCCAACTGATTGTTTAATTGCTGGTTGTTATGTTAGTTGCGATGCCACAGCAGAAATTTATCACCCATTAGATTGGTGTTTAGTTGTTAATGAAATGTATTTTTCTTTGGGTGAATATTGAAGAAAAATGATTGGATTATATTAATAGTTGAAAATAAGGGAAAGGTCTGAGAATTCGCTGTCGTGTCTCCGCGACCCTCTTTGTAACAGTCAATTAATCAACTCTACGACTTGTGAGCGTGTTGAGGAAGTCAGGAGTGGGCAGACCTTAGTCAGCAGGTCAATTAACATGTTTGTTGAAGATCCGGAAGCATCCCGGCTGACTCATAGGGCCCGGCGCAGTTTACCCAAACCCGACATTGGCAGCGGTGATCAATAGTGGGTTGAAGGGGGAAATTTATGATAGATTAACCACAGTGCTGCCAATATTGGTGAGGTGGGAGACTGAGGCTCAACTGATGAGAATATATATATATATATATATATATATATATATATATATATATATATATATATATATATATATATATATATATATATATATAATATTATAATTTTGCAACAAGTTTTTTCTGTACAAAGTGAAAATTCAGTTTAATAAAAAATAAGAGAATAAACGTGATAAATATACAGCAGGTAATTTGTCATTCTTCAGCATACAGTAGGCTACATATTGTCCACATTTTTCGCCCGAAACAAAAAACAAATAATATTAAAAGGACATAAACAGTTTAGCCCAACATTTCAGTATATCAATAAGTTTGGCTTTTATGTGATAATACGTCATCACCGAGTCTTTCAAGCAGACAGCAAATGAAAGGAAAAAATTAGTGGAGAAGAGTAAAACAGCGGTCGGCCGTGGATCAGTGCAGGACTGGCAGTGAGGGAGGGAGGTGTCCAGTGTGGCTCACCAGGTGAACGATGGTCCAGTGTCATGATTCATACCTATCCACACTGTCCACCATGATCTATACACATGGCAGCCACGGATGACAGGCATAGGGAGGGTGTAAAAAAAAAGTAATCTGTTTGTGTTTAATCCTACGTGAATAATATCATTTTCAATAACATGAATAACATAATGATTGCTATAATACCATTAGGAACCTTGAGTATAGAGACAAGTTAAAGCATCTTAATTTGCATTCCCTCGAGAGACGTAGAGCGAGGGGCGACCTGATAGAGGTGTATAAGTGGAAGTCAGGGCTAAACAAAGGGGACATTACAAAAGGTACTCAAACTATCCAACCAGGAGCGAACTCGTAACAATGGTTTTAAACTAGACAAATTTAGATTTAGGCGTGACATAGGTAAACACTGGTTTGGAAACAGAGTTGTGGATGAATGGAACAACTTACCAAATATCATCATTAACTCGAATACGCTGAATAGCTTCAAACATAGGTTGGATGCTTAAATGAGCAATAGGGGTTGGGTGTAAACGGGACTGCCCAGTATGGGCCAATAGGCCCGCTGCAGTTTCCTCCATTCTTATGTTCTTATGTTCTTATGTCTTATACAACTAAACACAAACACCACTCATGAAAATAGAAATCGCACTAAACATTACTATATGCAGTACTATATTACGGTCCACACTACAGCCGGAACTCACCCGCGCGGCGCCTCACTCACTCTCCTTCACCACCAATACCAAGTACTTAAAATAACCGTTCACGAGCGCCGGTCGTCCTACGCTGACAAACACGCTTAAGATGCATGTATGCTTCCGCTGAGCCTTAATCCATCTTGTGCAGTCACGGCCAAGTGTCTACACGAGCAGCGTCACCACAAGAACACGGCCTGATACCATGTGGAGTTTTATGGTATTTTGTATATGTTGGACGTGTGTGTATGTGTCGGTGTACGCGTGGAGGCACCGATAAATAAAGTGTAGCCAAACGCGAGGACGAAACACCCCTATCCAAACTTTAATATTATGTTCAGTTTTACAACTCTCCACCTTTTATGACTGCACGCTAAACACTCCTTACCGCGCCTCAACCCAAGACGGATTTGTTGCAGCAACTCAGGACAAATTGACGTTTCCAATGAAGGATAAAATAAGGAAACCAAGTGTAAAATAAGAATAATAACGTAAATATAAGAGGGTTAATGTAGAGCGTCGTGTTGATTATTACATTTACATCATACTGACGAGCAGGAAGACGTTTGGTCACAGTCAGGCGAGTGTTTCCAAAATCACATTACAACGGCGAAGAAAATTGTCATGTCAACACTAATAACATGAACTAAAGTCGCTTGTGTGCTGTCCTGTTGATAATATTTTTTATCATTTAATTGTTTACCACATCAAAAACAAGTTTGACGAGGTGAAGTTTTTTTTTTACAGGTGGGTGAATTTAATTTTCTATTTATACGTCAAATTAAACAAACTACATTAATACATTCAGAATCACAGAAAAAAACACCAAAAATTACCATTGGCAGATTAAAGAAGGTGATTAATTAGAGTTGCAAAACGAATTAAATTTTTTCCAAGAGCCAATTGGAAAAAGAATAAATAAAAAATATAAAACCGCTTTGACCCGCATCATTAGCTAGCGTACTGAGGACAAATATTGAGATTTTGAGTAATATGGAAATTTGTGTCGTAAATACGTTTTCTCCTGAAGATGGAAATTAACGTGTTTAAGGACATATTATGACAAATTTTCGTACACTTGATAAAAACAGACACACACACACAGTAACACACACATACATACACACACACATCCTCACACACTAACACACACACATACACACACACACACACCCTCACACACTAAAACATACACACACACACACACACACAGTAATACACTAACATACACATACACACACACACCGGCACACACACCCTCACACACTAAAGCACACACACACACACACACACACACACACACACACACACACACACACACACTCACACACTAACACACACACACACATACACACCGGCGCACACACCCTCACACACTAAAACAAACACACACACACCAGCACACACACCCACACACACAGTAACACACTAATACACACACACACACACATACACACCGGCACACACACCCTCACACACTAAAGCACACACACACACACACACACACACACACACACACACACACACACACCTACAGGTAATACAGATAAAACAATATTGTGGTGATACATTAACGCCTCTGAGTTACCTTAACGATATAATCCATTTGCATTTTATATCATTCCAAGACCCCATCTACATCATCTTTATTTCTCACCCACACCTGTGTAATGAACAAAGAGATACTGAAGTCTAATGGAAGAGGTAAATAAACAGTAGAGCGGACTGGTGGACAGCTGTGCACGAGGGGAGGAGGAATGGGGCGAGCTATCGACACAATACACCACTACTCACTCTTAGTTAACATTCACACAGACACACGCACACACACATATTCAATATAGGTACTTGCTCAAAATGCACACACACAAACAACGCACACACTGACATACACAGACGTGATGCCCCTCATAACACCATCTGTGAGGGAACTACTACACCACGTTAGGTCCCTCCTAACACCATCTGGGAGGAGTTACTACACTACGTGTTTACTGTTCAACACCTACATTAATCTGTATGTTCACTGTATGTTCCTTTACCTTTCTCTAATGAAGGCTTTTGTTAAACCACCAATGTATGTAATAAGTCATTTATGTCCAATGTATATTTTCAGCCTCCGGGCTGCAGAACTTTTTCAATAAACCGTTAATTATTATTATTATTATCATTCATATTCATATTATTAGACACACACAACCCGTACATAAAAATAATTCTTAATCTCCATATTTATTAACAATGCTTCATGTTAATCCACTACACATGATATATTAAGTCGACCTTTTAATCATTCATCACTCTGCAACATAATACAGGCACACGAGAGGTTAAAGTATTCTATAATGAGTCCAATAATCTTCATAATACACCCGTAATTTCACTAAGATACATGATATGATTATAAGAGTTTTTAAGGTAAT